TAAAAGGCGGGGGGGGATATATATCTCTGGCAGACTGTTGCAGAATTGAAAAAAAAATCTCTGAAATTCAAAATACAAATTTAATTACTATTTCCTGATGGAGCCTTCTTATTAGCTTTTCCTGATTTTCATTCTTCCCACAGGCCTTGTTCCATGGGGAATGCCAAATATCCTCAACCCATGGCCGCTTACAGACAAATACAGCAAGTAGAGCTGGAGCTCTGAGAAGGAATGGCAAAGCTTTTGCCACTTATATAATGCCTCACTATTTTGACTCAGTGGCTGATGTCCACTTGTGGTTACATGTAGCAAAAATCTGTTGCTGAAAGATAGGCTATATAAATGAATTAAGAGTTTTGTGATGAGGTCCCAGATTTTCAAATACACTGCAGCTTAGCTAACTTCACAGTTGAGGACTCGGACCTACATGTTTTGTTATCTGAAACTAGCACCTTCCTAGGTATGCTGACAGATAATGTACTGCTAAGAGAAAGCTCAGAAAGCTGAGCTGTAATTTCAGTTTTGAAGGTGTGTCTAAATGAGGCACGCTTTGGAGATTTTATCTGGGCAACCTGGATTATATTCAGTGGCTGTAATACATCCGAGACTGCACTGCATGAATAGCGCTGCCAGTTGAGGGGCTTTTATCGCTGCTAAATTGATGTTAAAGATGCAGATTAGAAACAATGACAAAGACCTAGCTATTTTCAGGACCACTGGCAGAGAGGCAGCAGAGAAAGAGCACTGAGCTTGATGGCATCTTGAGAATGGTCTCTTCGTTGTACTTAAGTGAGCTTCACCTCAGAGGCACTGTGGCACAGTGAAGATCCTGGTCTGCTCACCTCCACGCGGTTTCTCAGAGCTTTTGGACTAATGTCCCCCTGGGACTTGTGCCCTCTTCTGTATATGCTTCTCCTCTGCATAAGGGAGCTAAGGAAGGAGTAAAGACCAGATTGCTCTAACCTCTTGACTGTCCTGCTGTGTATGATCACTGCAGTTTATTCCTGGACTGGGGTAAACCTCTTCTCATCAGAATTAAAACTGCACTAGTACAGTAAATTAGTAGAGTCGACTAGGAATGATCTTCAACTACTCATTGCTGTAACTTCAGCCCAGTTGGACTTAATCTCTGCAGACTGAAATATATGTGTTGGTTTTATTTACTTTGTTTTTCTAAGACTGAAAACAGGTTTCAGCAGCACCGATACCCTTCTCACGCTTCCCTCGCAAACATTTGTGCTCTAAATATGCATACTGAGGAAAAGGGAGAGAAGGTACTTACCTAGTTCGGGTGCTTTGCTTAGCACAAATGCATATGCCCAAAATTTGCTGACAGGTCCATTGTAAAAGCTCTGATCACACACTGACTGCTTCAGGCCTTTGGTCATCAAAATGTACAGCATGTAAGCACCAGTTCGAACAGCACCGAATATACTTTAAAATACAACGAGAAAATGAAGAAAGTTCAGTAGGCACGTCACATCTGCATGTCATTGTTTCAAATCTTTATGACAAAAAAAGTCATAAATGTACTGAAGTAGTAACAGTTTGAGCCAGCCTTAAAACTGGAGTAACTCCACCGGTTTCTAGGAAGTTATTCTGAATTCATATTTGTAAATTGGACTGCAATAGTATGCCCGGGTGAAAGTCTGGAACAGTAACATCAGTGTTTCGGGTTTCATTACTATAGGAATGATTCTTCAGTTGTCAGGAGCAATTGGGGATATCAACTGCAGCTGAGAATAACTTGCAGATTTTTGATGTTGATGGCTGGAGGATTACAAGAAATGAGTTAATAAAGAGTTGTCACCAACATAATTGGGACCAATTCCCTCTTCTGAGATCCTCAGTTTTCTCTTGTCTCTCTCCATGCTTGTTGCGCCCACAAGAGCTCTGAGCAGACAGCAGCCCAGGTAGGACACACAGACTTTCATGGGGAACTTAATTTAGGGCTGGAGTTTCAGATGGCAGTGCTTTTGGTGTGGGTACTGTGTGTTTTATCTCTTAGCAAGTCCCTGCTAACAGAGGAACTGACTAGTTGAACTCAGCCATAATAAGCACTGATTCACCCTGGCCTCAAGGAGAGATGCAAGGCACTGGTGTTCTTATCTCCCCTCTAACTGCTCTGTGCTCCTGACCTACTCATGGGGCCTCTGTTTCCTGCTCTGTCTTGATGTTTTTCATGACAATCTCATAGCAGCAAGCAAACCCAGCCACCTAAAATTGATACAGGCAGATTCATGTGGACAATGCAAGCTGCCGTTTATGCAAGGTAAGTGAAATAAGGAATAGTTCATGTAAAGCTGTAGATTCTCTATCACTTCTCCTTGCCTTGTTAAACCTGTATCTTTTAAAAAAAAGTGTGTTCAAATCATCAAGGCAGCCTCAAAAGTTGAGGCCTATGGCAGTTTTTATGGCACTTGGTCAGACTAGCTATTTCAAGTGAGCCTGCTTAGCTTCAAAACTGTTGATAAATGTTTTTATGTTATTTGCATAAAGTTTTTAGCTTTCCAGACTTGCAGCACTGGTATATCCAATCAAACCTGACTAGTGCTAAAGAGCAATGCACTTTCCTTGCTCCTGCCCACTGGAGGCAGCTCTGTAATAGAGTGGAGTGCCGCACTGCTCTGGTGGTCTTTGAGCTTTACCAGGAGCATCACATTTGGGGCTCTAAAACCTCATCACCCATGAGGAGAAGTGTTGACTCCTGGCTCCTGTGCTGTTACGTTTTGATGCCTGAGGTTTGATCATTCCATCACGAAATTCATACAGCAACACAGAACACTGTTTGGGTCTCCTAACAGTCTGCTATTATTAGCTGCTATTTGCATTGTGGTATTTGCTCATGGGCTCTACTGCCAGATGAGCCCTCATGTGCTATATGCAAACCAAAAGGACTGTCATTCTGGGGTATATGTTTATGGAGTTTAAGGAGTTTAGATGAGGCTGCATTTCCCATTAGCACTGCCCAAAGCAAGGCATATATTCCCGGATTTAGGCAAGACAGCAGTTGTAGTCGCTCACATATACATTTTGGATTCATCCATCCCCACAAAGAAAAGAAAAACTGCAGTATTCTTAGCATCTGTACAGCCTACAATGCATCTTTTCCACCTAGGACTCTCCTCTCCCAGAAGTGCTCTCTCAGCATGCTTTTCTCATGTCTTTCTGGGACTGCTCCTTTTAACTTGGCCGAAACTGGCTGCCAAAGCCTGCAGTAGGTGTTGTGAAACTAGGTGTAACTTGTTCTGTGTCCTCTCTCTCGCATTTAACACATGCTTTGTGTTCTCAGGAGTTGCATGTCTCACTCCCAAGATGACAGGTGATTCTGACAGAGATGTGATCTGATCACTTCCTGAGGCACTGAACTCCTCAACCTGGCCAGAACAGGCTGCTTCTTGCCCTTGTGTTTTGGGTGGTGGCAAAACTGGATGGAAGAAGATCAGGCAGAATATCCAATGATGCTCAGTCAGTAATCTAGTTCTCCCATTAGCAAATACCTCAGTGCTGACATTAAAATAGGAAAAAAAGAGGACGTTTTAAATTATGAAATCAAATAGCTGCCAGCAATATGCCTTTCCTCATGCAGAAATGGTATTGCTCTTTTAAAATATCATATATTATTAAAGTTTTAAAACCAAAGAGGATTCTGTGCCATGAACACAAGCTCAGATGAGACGAGCACTGGTTTACACAACAGGCAGAACGTTGACTTAACTGTAAGTGATTCAGTGTGGCAACCCATGGATTTAGTCTGGAATGATAACCGAGCTGAAGAGTATTTGCCTTCTGGGCATTACAGTTTCACTTTGCTCACCTTCAAATTATGAGGATGTAATTCTTCTTCTCTTTCTGTTTTGCTACTACTGCAGAGCTCTCCCTAGAGTGCACCCACACCCACCCCCCACACCCACACACCCACCCCCCCCACACACAGGCGTGAGTCAGACTAATTTGAAATTTTATCAGTAAAAAAAACTACATTCTGGCATAATTCACAAGAAAAGGTTTGATAAATAAAGAAGATGGCAAACTGAAAAGAACAAATTGAATTATTTAAATACATGCCTTAAACAGGTAGCTGTGTATGAGATGTGCTGCATGCCAAAACACTATCTTGCCAATAAACACTCGCCACCTGAGACACAGAACATTTAACGCATGCCTGCAAATATGCTTTGGACCCAGAAAGACAGACCTGCTTTTTGTGCCTCTGCCACTTATCTCATTTGTTCTGTAAGGTAAGCTCAACCAACAAATTTCTATCTTGCAAAGACATGGTGTGCTGCAGAGTGATGACACTGCTTGCTCAGTAAATCACTTCTGCTTCATTTCGTCCTTGCCCTGCTCTGTGCTGTAGCTATTGTGAAGTATTGAAATGAACTGCTTACCAAAGCAGTCTGTCTAGTGGGAACCATCCACAGGGATTTTAGAAGTAAGGTAGCAGTGAATTACTGTACAATTACAGCCTTTTGCAACTAGAGAGACTGATCAGAAATGCACTGCACCGGCTAATGCCGCTTTCTCATCTATTCAGACTCTAAATGCCCTACATGCTTTTCCCTTCAGGCAGTGACTTCTCTGGTAGACTAACCAATGTCCAGTTGCTATTTCAATGCCCATATTATGATCAACATTTATCAGTGAGTGCAATAAAACTGATACTAAGCTTATTTTCATATGAGGGTCTTAAGACACATCATATTTATGGATGAGGAACATGAGACTTTTGAAAGGGCAGCGTTTTAGAAGAAGGGAAACTGATGCACAGGGAGCTAACTGATGTTACAGAGGAAGACAGAGGTAGGTACTAGCAGCTGAATCCTATTTACTGCTTAAAGCTTCCTCCATGCTGCCTAGCAGAAGGAAGTGAAGCCCTTGTTTCTGAAAAGCCTGAAAGGAAAGGAAGTAGTTCAAGACTTCGGTTGCAACCTAGACAACGTGGTACAGGCTCAGCTCTTACTGACAGCAAGAAGGGTAGTGTCTGTTTTTGCCAGGGTTGTTGTCTAGGCAGATACATCGCTGCCCATGGTCACTGACTCTTCTGGACATCCCAGCCCAGGATCAACACTGCAGACCTGGGCAGAGAATGTGCCTTCCACATTAAAAAAAAAAAAAGAAAGAAAGAAAGTCAGGCCTGCATATACCTCCCAGCGATGACATTACTGAGTTCTGTAATATCCTGCTTGGAATATTTCTTACCCATTTTAATATTCTACTTTCATATCTAGAACTCTTCTCAGCACCACTTTTCAGCATAGAATGATGGACCCATTCCAGCACAGGCTATAGCAACATTGCCTCAAAAATTTTAGCGCTGTGATAACCACACAGCAGAAATTCTTTGCTGTTTTTTTTTTTTTAAGCACAACTAACTAAACAGACCGAACAAACTAAACTGGCTTTGTGTCTGCAGAACTAGGTAAAGATGGCATCAGATGGAAGCTAGTACAGTTCTGAATACAAGTGAGGGGGGAAAAAAATGTTAGCTACAGGTTACAAGTTCAAAGTGGGATATCTTTAATTTTTAAAGCATCCCATCATGCGTCATAAATTGTGCATGCAGGACACCACCAGAGAGCAGCAGGGAGCCCACAGACTGTGAGGCCACCCTAGTCCGCGTGAATGCAGGGAAATACAAGCATTTAAAGCAGCGCTTTCATTACTCAAAGGCACAGGTTGTTTCACACTGGCACCAAACACAGGAGCTCAGCTGGTTTGACCAGTCTCTGAGGTGTCAGACTACCCCTTATTCACAGGTGTGTTGGGGCAAGTAAGGCACTGAGCCCATTAAGCACCTGGTTGTGGCGCTCCCAAGGTGTCCAGTTCCAGCCCTAAACCCAGAGGGCCTGGTTGGAAGAATTAAGAAATTTTAATTCTGCTTCAGCCTATTTATGTAGCAATTCAAAGGAGCCTGAGCAGGTGAGTCAGTGCGTGCCTGCTGCGCTCACCGAAGCCGCGGAGAGTGGGCTGTCCCCTCTGAAGTCCAAATCGAACAAACTCTGGGCGCGGGACAGTAATCATTCCCCACTGAGCTCAACGTGCTTGCAGAGTTACAAACTTCAGTCTGCAGCCTTCTTTGCTATATCACTAATAAGAGAAAAAAGGCAGGCAGGTTTTTTTCTTTTTAGCACGCAAAATATTGACAGAGGAAGCACTCTGAATTAGCAAGAAATGCTTAAATGTCAGGAGCTAAAGAACGTGGAACTTTCTAAACCTTCTTTTGTGCTAAATCAAATTTCATTCACCTTTAAGGTTCATTCAACTCATTGGTCATATCGCGTTTCCTTTCTGCTGCTACAGAGCTTGTTTCTTAACAAAATAAAATGGCCTTTCTGTGCCCTGCTGATTTAAAGCCTGCAGTCCTTATAAAAGAGCAACAAGTTGTAGTACTAGTGATGCGGAACACGAGCACTTGCTTCGCTAATGCCTCG